CTGTGACTATCTTTAAGAAGAAACTAGATGCTTTCATGGACAGGCAAAAAGGTGGGGGGCAATGTTGACGTAGGTACTAGACAGTAAGCAACTAGGATAGTAAAAAAAAAAAAACAAACAAACAAAAATACAAAAATATTTAGCTTTAAGAGGGTTAGGCCTACCCTAAAATTAAGGAACGCTCGACCTCGACACGTGAAATCGAAATGGGCGAAATCGCCTCTTGATATCACTAACTCTCCTGACTCCTGATTTCCTCACATGTTGCACTGACAGGACATCCGTGCCGTATAGCTGTTGGTGGATTTCCACCGGTTGGATCTCCTGTGCCCACAGAAACCGAATTAATTATCGGATCTCCAGCTTCGTATACACCTGCAGTACCTCCGTCATGTTCGCTTCGACTCTGCGCCTACCAGCACGGGTTTGTAACAGTGGTGGCTGCTGCCATTTAGTGACACTATTTGGTACTAACATGCGTGGGTGTCACAGCACCAGATTCTTGTTAGTTTGACGGGGAAAACATGGGAACCTTACTTTCTGACTTACCCTCGTATATTTCGACCACCCACCATACAGCCCAGACCTCTCACCAAGCGATTTCCACGTTTTTGGTCCTTCGAAAAGGCATTGCGCAGTTGAACAGGACATCCAGGAAAGACTATGTCCTTGAAGCCTTTAAGTAATGGTTCTAGTACCTGTCAAATTACATTTTTCATGGTTGAATTACTCTATGGCCAGACCTTTGATGAGAGGAACTATTAATAATTCCTTCCAGTTGTGCATGCAGTATTTGCAGAAAATCCTCTCCACAGGCATTTATGTGTTCGTTCCACCATTCAACCTGATTCTTAATGGCACAGCTTTAAAAACAACATTGCCATCTGATGTCACCACATTCTCTGTAAATCTACCACGTCATCGTCCAGGTGATGTCACCGCTCCCCTAACGTCCTTTTGATAGGGCGTCATCAAAAAAATGATACCAGATCTCATCTCATGGCACGCTTCTGGTCAAAAACGACTGTACTGTACAGGTAGTCTGAAAAGTCACTCCCTATTTTTAAATTGTTATTGCTCCTAAGCCAGAGATATTTAAAATTTTCTTTAACTGAATTGAAGCTTATTTTTTACCGTTCACTTTATAACAAAATTGAAAAGCTTTATTACAAAGTTAAAATTCAACATACTCTCCAGCATTGTCGACACATATAACCTTACCGGTATATTTTCAACAGATTTTCTCAAGAAGTCACCTGGTGCATTGCCTAGAATATCACGAATTTTGTTTTCAAGCTCATCAATGGTCCTTGGTTTTGATTTTTAAACTTAATTCTTTCGCCCAGCCCCACAGAAAGAAGTCGCACGGCGTTAAATCTGGACTTCGAGCAGGCCATTCCGTTGGTCCTCGACGACCTAATGAATTAATTCGCTCGTTCTTCTATGCTTAATTTTTCAGCCATTATTCACTTATAATAGAAATGGTAATGATTAAGCTTCAAACAGTGAAAGTACGGTTACAATATCTCCTTCAGTTTAGGAGTAATAGCAATTTAAAAAGAGGGAGTAACTTTTCAGACACCCTGTATATTTCCTGCAGCATGGCAGCTCTGCAGATGTGTGGGCACACACCAAATTTCAATGCATTATGGCACACCCTTCAATTCACCATTCTCCACATATATAAATCATATTTGATTCATTGAGATATCGGCAGACTTAAATCAAGGGCCAAGAAGGAAGAAAAAATATGGTAATTTCGTATTTCTGGGATAGTCGGCCCAGTGCCTAAGAAAACATTCTTACATGAATTCATTAACTTTCCATTTATTCCAACATCCCCCAAAAAGGCACAAATTGTGATTTGCGTGTGCGCACTTTGCGGGATACGCAATGGTACACAGGAAATGATGAATGTGAGTGTAGGTTGTGCGATGATAGACAAATGGGGGTGTTTCATGATTAAAAGAAATATTAACTAAGCGCCAAAAAGGTGCTCATTCTGGTACACTGGATGTCCACAGATCTCTTTGAAAACATGTTGAACGTCCTCGAAAGCGTTTATGTGCTACTTGGACAATGTCATATGTATAAAGCCTACAGGTCTCATTAGACGCGTGGTATCTTCGGCACCCGATCAGTAAATGGAGCGAATGGCGGCGAAGAAAAGGAATCGTCCCTATTTCATCATGGACGCTTAAAATCCCAGGATTCCCGGTAGCAGGCGGAAGGCACTACATTGAGCGATGCCATCGTTCCCTTACGATTATAGCTGCAACTCTCGTCTCCTCGTTCATCCGAAAGATGGCGAGACGAGAGCGAATCTCCGATTTTCAGCGAAAGTTGCCTCCGTCCCCTTTCCTTGGCCGATTTACAGGTTTCATTATGAAAAGCCACATCCTTGAATGGGAAGGAAGAGTTCTGTCGAAACCTCAAGTTCCTATCTCTAAGCGTTTGGCCTGTAGATCTGTCACACAATTATCGCACAAGCATACAAATCGCTCCGCCTAACTAGCTGTCAGGATCGCGCACGCTATACGTGTTTAACCTGCGGACATCGGTGGCTTCGCAACCGAGGTCCTGCGGTTGGAATCTTTTATTGCTTATAGGGATACGTGCTTGCGGCACTCGTTCAGGATAATTATGCAAATCTCTACTCAAAGGAGAATATGGAACAGTAAGTGTAAGAATGGAGTGTGACCTTGAAATAATTTCCCGATGAATTGCATCATTGCCTGGGGCGATGCCAATGGGCGTGTGCGGCCTGTAATAAAAAGAAGCAGATGTATTGTGAAGAGAGTGAGGCATTTACACCTGAGGGGTTTACATGAGGACCATCTAGGGAGCTGGATGCTAATGTCAGCATGTCTCTCACTAGGGGGACTGTCCAGTGATGAACCAGGCACACCCTTAAGGGTGCAGGATCTCACCCTTAATATTTGTTGCATAGTCTAGCAATTGGATTTCCATGCGAATGTGGATTTTTAACTAGCAATAGCAGTCGCATGCCTCATCACTCAGGATCCTGACCATTTTGACAAAATCTGCCGTGACTCTAGAGCAGTTGGCCACAGGTGCAAGAACTTCAGTTACTCTTGCATAGCTTATTAGACTACGTCATTTATATTGTCGTACCAGTCCGCTCCAAAATATTGATTTTGTAGAAAAACGTAACGTGGTTTATTTTTATGGCTAACCCTGTTGACTCGCTAAAGGGAGAGTTTTCTCCACTTTTCCTTTGTGAAAGAACTTCATCTTTATTATGACCGGGGAGAAGATGCGAAAGAGAAGATCCATGAGGCGAAGAAGATGGACTAGTTTCTTCGCGAAACGTGTCTTCTCTTTGACCAACCACTTCCGGGAGGATCTTGCGACAACACATGATGGAATTATACTGAGGTTTTTCATGAACTCTGAACTGACTAGCGAATGTCTCTTTTTATGTCCAGAGGAGAACAGAGAAGTGGCTTGAAGAAAGAAGAAAATGGAAATGGCTTTTTAGTGAAACCTCCCACTCCCACTAATCCAAGGACGTCTGCCAAATGTATTGTGTCGTATCATTCTACGGTCTTGAAATTTTCCTTGAAATTACTAGACACTATTGCAGAGTTCCATGCAATGTCTGAGTAATATTTTCCATGTAGCTAAGTTTGTAGTTCCTACACGAGATTTCATAACATTGCTTGAATTATCGGTAATCAACTGCGCACAACTGTACACTTCATGGATTGTTCAACGACACAAGCCATACTAATTTTGGATATAAATCCTTGTTCATATTTGAGAGGGTTTGCACATTTCATGCACAGGTTGGAATACTCTTGTCTCATATTTCGCACCATAGTCATCTTCCTAACGAAGGCTTTTTATTTACACTTCATATTCATAGTGAGGTACGACCGTAATGATTTCATGAAGTGACAACGGAACTGTGAAATTATTTACAGAACGTCATGTTACTTCCTAGGCCTTATTCTCACCTAAACCCCAAAGAGGGCGTTAATTGAGCGTGAATGTATTCTGCGTGGCTAAAAAGGAGGTACATATGAAAAGGACTCAGTATGAAAAAGGTTAACGCTTCCATCGGATCTGTAGTTGGCGAGTTATTGCCCCCTAACTTGGGGGGAGAACGGAAAAACCCCATCGATGGCAAAATTCCCATCTTAGAAACCATTCATCGCACGAAGGTGTGCAATTGTTTCAACCGGAGCTCATTAATAGGCAATCAATTCTCCTTCGAGTTTGAATGCGATTTCCACATCACTGTTCAGTTTGCTTGTCCAAATTCCCTACATTTCTCATATTGAAATATCCCTATGTGACGAGTGAAAATGCAAATCTCACGGTAAGGAAACACTCCTCTTTCAGCTGCAACCAAAAAAGCTAGATTGATTTTTCGTCCGCTACATATAGAAAAATTAATTTAAAAGTAGAATTTTCTCATTTTGGGTCATATTCGGTCGCGAATATGTCGTTGTGGTGGAGCCAAGGATAGTGTCATTCGAAAGGTGAGCTTTAGATCTTTCCAGAAATATATTATTTTTCCATATTTTTGTTTTTTTTCCTTAATGCCGAAAGTTGCAAATTCTAAAAATTCGCTTTTTCTTCAAATGTCTTGTGATATACTGCTAGAAAGGTATTTCAGAGCTCTGTGCTATTCTTCCGACTCTCATTTTGGTTCAGCTTTGCCATTGCCAATCACCATTGATAGCATAAGTACTTCGCCACATCGAAAAATATTCGACCGAAGATGACCAAAAATGAGAAAATTCGTTTTTTTTTGGTACATTTTTCTCTATGTAACGGAGAAAACGTCGAAACAAGTAACTTGTTTTTCGACGCACCTGAAAGAGGAATGAATCATTTCCCTCGCCATATATGGACACTAGGGGCACTCAATAAATATTCCCACTTGATACGATTTCCTACTCCATTTCCTGTTTTCTTTCTTTCTAGCCGGTGATCAGTGTTTTTGGATATGTGTATGCCAAGTTGCAGGAGTCGGGCGTGAATAGTTTACTGCAAGTTTTCTTAAATGTACAATGACCTCGTCACGTTTGACCTAAATAAATTTAATCTATAGAGCCCTCAAAATAATGTGATTTGATAGTTTTCCGTTTAGATAATCGGACAATATGATATTTCCAGTTCCTGATAAGAACCCCAGAGTATGCTAAATTTGCTAATAAATGTAGTTCTTCCTTCAAGAGGTCTTGAAGGAAGACCCACCAGCAAAAACTTCTACGAAATTTAAGGAGCGGAGCTTGATCACCGATTAGAAATATAGGCGAAAAAGTTTAAATTATGGTCCGAATTCAACAAATAAGGGGTCATAAAAGGGAATGCTTTGGAAATTTCAAATATGCAATTAGAACGAATTAATGAAGTTATTTGAGCATGTTCTCAGGTCTTAGTAAATATGGAACTTGAGAATGATATTGTGGATCCCCAAAGCCAAATTGATACAAATTTTATAGTAATGGCATATACAGGACGTCTCATAAGTCAGTATACCATTTCACACTGCAATAATTTCCAACAAGCAACGAGCAGGTCATTGCATTTAACATTGATGGAAGGAACATTCTTTGGATTTTTCACGATTTTGACTTGGAATCAGATTAAAACGGAAATTGCTTTAAATATATGCCAGAAAGGTGTACTTTCTTGTGGCGATTTTTAGTTCACCTTCTCGACAAAACTGCAAAAAATTTGTTTGCTCTATTTTCTGATTAACTTCATAAAAAGCAACAAGTAACATTTCGTTTACATTGTTTTTGCTGTAATGAGGAATGAATTGTCGTTGACCCTGGGGCAACGAAGAAAAACTGCCACCTGGTTGGAGGTCTTTGAGAGTTCCATTGGAGTTCAGAGGAAGTTTCAGTGATTTCAACGTACCGAGCCTCATACCAAAATGTATTGATATATAAGCGAAGTGCATTGTGAGGCCCTTTCAAAATACTAAAACTTCTAATTTTTTGGAAGAAATACAGGGTGGGCCAAAAAGAACGTGGGTCATCTTCATCACCTCACAGCACCAGTCCCCAAGAGTTTGCTAAAAATGGAATAGTACCTCTAGAATGTAAAACATTCATTTAGCTTTCGAATGATGCCCACAAAATAAAGATTTGTGGTCTAACTACCACGCAGTTAGATAGAGTATGAGGTGGCGCTGGAAAAATAGGTGCCATACGACGATTTCAGCCAGTACATGCATACCTTCGGCTACTCGCTATAAGCGAAAGAATGGACGTCGCTTGGGGCACATCCCATATCGTACTGCTAAGTGCATTTTTCAAGCGCTACTTGTTACATTGTGCGTAACTGCGTAGGAATGACAAATTGATCTAAATATTTTGACATCAGTGGAAAGTTAGAAAAATGTTTTAGATAGAAACGCTATTACAATATTACTAAATTCTCAAGAAACTTTGCTGTGAAGCGTTGAAGATAACTGAAGATTTTTTTAGCCAACCATGTATAATTCAAATGACATACTATCATTCACTCAGTATTAGTTATTTTTTTGCGACAACTGCCTCATAGATGTGATTTTTTAAATGGCATAGTGACTTACAGGATACCATGTATATCTTAGCTATAGTATGGAAAAGTGTAATTGTTGCATCATTTTTCGTTATTGCCCAAATAATTTTCAAGTTAGTCACGTTATATCGGTACGTCCCTGGAAACACTGAACTTGCAGCAAAATGTCTGAAGCTTGCCTTTTTTTTAGAATTTAAGTTATCATAAAGCTGAATACCATCACGGAAGATCACCATGTAATTTCCATGGGAATCCCATGTTATTCTTATGGGAATAAGAATTGCATAGGATTTCTAACCAAAAATTGACCGCAAAGTCTGCCAAGGTGAAAACAGGGAAGGAGAGTTTGAAGTTTCATCGGATTGTTCCAGAAAGTACCTATGAGATTAATGAGTGTGACAGCAGTCAACACCATCAATATTGATTAAGGTCTGTTGGCACGATGAAATATATGCTGAAGAAGAAACCTGTCCTACAATCTTAAGCATGACATCAGTGTATCAATTTGTTAGCTTGCATCTATGACGATCTATTGTGGATTGGCCACGTTCAGTAGAAATCAGGAGACTTTCACATAAGATTTTGGCACCCTATTAGCCAAGCCAAACAATAATTCTTGCCAGAAACGGAAGACCAATGCTGGATCATGGGAAAAAAAACATTCGGTGCAAAATCCACTCTTCAGACTTTTAGAACTCTTTATGATGCCTCCATAGGAAAAACGAGACAAACTCAGGATCAAGTCACAATTTCGAAAATGGTAGAAGAATAATTACAAGAGCTAGGCCTAATGAAAATACTAGCTAATTCCTGAATGAAAATGGTATATTTCATTGATACACCACAGTGTTTATTTTACGAAGACCTGGGCATTCTTTGCAGCATTGTGACGGGGCCAGATAATGAAAGGTAATTAGGAATATTAAACGTTATATAAGCAATTAACTTTAAAATGTAGTCCCTTAGGAACCGTGAGGAAATATGGCTTCACTCCTATATTCCCATGAAATTTGTATAGGATTCCCACGGAAATAACCTTATTAATCATCCGCGTCTCCCTTGATGGTATCCCATTTTAATGACACAACAATCCAAGCGAGAAAAAGAAACGCTTTTCAACATTTTGCCTCCAAGTTCAATGCTACCAGGGACGTACCGACATAACAAGACTAACGTATAAATTATTCGGGCAATAATGAGAGATGATGCTCAAATGAAACTTCTCCATACTCTAATATGTATGTGCTTTGACTGTAAAATTTGTATCAGTCTGGCTTTGGATCCATGAGGCCATTTTCAAGGTCAACGTTTGCTCAGATGTGTGAACGTGCTCATACATACGAGGTGTGGCAATAAAGTTCCAGGACTGATTTTTTTGTGAGTATGTCAATATCGCAAAAATTATTTCCAATCCATGGACTAAACTGTTGGGCAGTGTAGTGTCAGTTCTCATCAGACTAGCATCTTCAATGAGAGTTTGGCTGACAATATAGTAACTCAGTGTGTAAGGCGTCTGTCATATTCACAGAGTGAACTGTATCACATTTTGTCTCAAACCGGTCAATACAGCTGCAGCGATCCATCAAATGTTGCAAGAAGTGTCTTGACAAATTGTTTTGTCATACTTCAAGAATCTTGAATAGTTTTCAATGCTTCAGCCAGTAAAAAATAATGATTGGTTCAGCCATCTCTTGGGTGAATGGTTGGTGATGGTTGGGGTTGAGGTTGATCTGAATGTCTTCACTACTTGCTAAAGGCCTTGAAGGTCATTCAAAATTATTGCAGCATAACAAGGAACTTTTCAGGAGACTTCTGCAACATTTGATGGATTACTGTAGCTGTATTGACCGGATTGAGATAAAATGTGATGAAGCATTGCTTCATTCTGGGAATATGACAGACGCCTTACACACTGAGTTACTACATTTCCAGCCAACCTCTCATTCAAGATGCTAGTCAGATGAAGACTGACACTTCAATGCCCAACAGTTTAATATTAGTCTATGGAATGGAAATAATTTTTGCGATATTGACAGACTCACAAATAAATCAGTCCTGGAACTTTATTGCCAGACCTCTATAAATGTATTCGTTCTAATCGCCAATTTGGAATCTCCAAAATATTCTCTTTTAAAAGTCATTCTGTTTGCTGAAATTGTGCAATAACTTAAGCCTCCATACCCATATTTCTAATAGGTGGTCAAGCACCACCCCTTAAATTTATCATAGGCATAGTTACCGAACAATTTGTCAGAAAGAGAAAACATTTGATTCTTTCAGTAGCTAAAAGAATCTCACATTATTTTTCGTCAAATTCTGAGATATTAACCATTTTACAAATGAGTGATTTCATGTGGACTGACCCTGAAACCATCTGTTTCACGGTTTAGGCCGATTGATTTCTCAATTGGAATTCATAGTTCATGGAATCTCATTCTTTGTTAACATATATATTGCACATGCAGGATGAAGTTTTCACTCGGCAGAACAGGCCCATTAAGTTTCAACATAGCGTTCAAGAGTTCTCAGGAAGTTTCTCTGCCGTCGCAAATATGTATTTCCTCTGAGGAGACAGATGACTTGAAACAAACTGATATTTCTTGGTGCTTCCGGAGTGCTCCTCGCCGTATATAAGTGAATAACACCATACAAAATACAAAAAACAAAGCCAAGATCACTGGAACAACCACCCAAGTCCATCTCCCGTTTCCGGCTGGTTGAAGATCGGTGAAGTATTTGGGGACTTCACGTTCGCTCGTGATCGTTTGATGTACATATGTCGTGATTGGAGGCTTGCTCGGAATCGGACCCGGTGGAATCGGGCTCATGTCCAAGGAGAGGAAACTTGACATGCCACTCGTCTTGAACATTGGCACCAACTAGGAATGATAATTTTTCCTCAGAAATACAGGATAGTCCAACCAATGGTAATTGTGCTCGGATACGATTGCGAATATCTTGACTAATTCATCAACAGGAATTTCACCTTTTGTTGATTTTTTCCTCCCATAATTGCAAATGCGCATTCACTTAATTGAAGATTAATTGAAGATGAGGCACTGACAATTGTATGTGGTGATGATACCAGACAATGGCAGATCCAAAAAGGGTTTCATCAGCCCTTTCCAAAAAGGTATAACGTCTCAGCAACAAGTTAGCTTTAAAACCTCAAACACAATCATTTTCAGACCGCTATTATGATAATTTGTTGCGTATATGATTGTGATCATCAGAAATAACATTTCACCTACATGACTCTCTTTCTGTGGAATGAGGCTCTTTCGTTAGGCTAAGTTGCAACAAGCTGTACCATTGCATGAATCTGCCAAAATGACCATTTACATTTAGATGTATGGCCATGAGGACGAAACTAACCATATAATCAATGTAGTCTAGAATGAATTTTTAGGGTAGAATTATAAGCAAGTATGCTCATACATGCTGGTATTGAATATTTGTTTCTCATAAGATTTTACAGAAGCAAAAGAGAGTGTCTGAGTCATGGCACTTTTTGGCACTATATGCTCATTTAGCAGCACACTACAAATAGTTATTCAATGCGCCTAATCCCGGAATTCACGTAAGGTAACAATGAGGATGTTCTGTTCCATTTTAACTGATTTAAAAAGTTACAAATTGATATGGAGGAGCTTTGCCTGACTATGAATGATGATTTCGTGTCGATTGCAAAAAAAAAATAGTTTTGGACCTTTTGTGCATGCATTTTTCAAAGTAAAACAGAAAAACATTTTCCTTGGTTTAATGTCTAAGGTGTAACCTGCCATAGTAGCAGCACGTTCCTCTGCTAGGAAAATAAATGACATGACCCTTTATTAGCCTTGATTTGACCCGTCAATACAAATACAGTGCTAATCATGGTGTCAAGATTCCACAGAAGGCGGATTTCCATTCCCCTTCATGAGGAAACTGTATTTTAATTTGGCGGTTCTCATTTTTTTGGTATATAAACTCTCCTCGAGTTTGGACCAAACAGACATAGAAACATCTACAATTATATGAGGCCAGCTGATTAGACACATCATTCATCATGTTGGCAATAAGCATGCCTCTTCTCGTAAGTTGCATCTGGTTAAGTACTTACTGTTTTTACTTTGAAGTACGTCTTCCAGATACTTCAGCCAGACACTTGAGTGTCCAAGATTTGAGACCATGGTTAAGGGTGAAATCCTTTTAACTTTCTGATGAAAATTCCAGGTCTGTACCTCTCAACTGTGATAAAACGATTAAGAATCTGTACCTGGATTTTCTTGTCCATCCTATATACCTGGCATGACACTACAAGATGGGCCAAAAACAATAACACTGGCATTTTTTGAGTCGTCAATCTCATTATAGACTGTCGATTCTGATTAAATTTCGTAGGTTCATAGGATGACATAATTGAAGTTTATAAGACGAATTTCAGCATTTTGGCTTTAAAATATAGGAGCTGTAATTATTTTCAGATTACCCACGAAAAAATGTGCTGTGGAAAATATCGGTATGAACTTGAGGCCGCGATGAAAGGGAGTACTGAATTCATGACCTTCCATCCCTGCATGATGCTATAGAGGAAGATTGGTAGGCACAACCTCAAAGATTTATTGACGGAGCCAATGATCTGTGGCATCCCAGACTAGAGGCTTGTGTTCAACAGAATGGAGGGCACATAGAGCACCTTTTCAGGTGAAATGGATCTACCTAAACGAAATTATCTGCTTTCGTTTTTAGTGTTTGTGCATTTTGTTCTTGTTCTGTTTCTTTGCTTGTTTGTTTTTGCTAGTGGGGAGTTATTTAAATTGAATGAAAAAATTAACACTTACTTTCTTGCCGACGAAAAATAAATCAAATGCATATCTCACCTTTTTTACATTTTACCTGAAACTCGGTAGACAAACCCTAATTTAGTCATACTATGTGCCAACGAAATTTCATCGGAATCGGCATCCTACATTCAGATTTACAACTCACTAAAAACGATAGCTTTGTTGTTTTTTCTTTACATCACCTACCCCGCCTCACCTTGGTTATCATGTAGACGTGGGCTCGAAGGAAGATCCTGTAACGTTTGCCCTTCAACAATTGCCTGTTGAGGTAACCATAAGAGGTTTTATTGTCTCCCAAGTTAAAGATATAAGGGATATCTTGTCCAAGAAACTTGGCTGCAACGTATGGCCGATCCTCAGGGAATAGTTCATGGGTATTTGGGATCCACATTGTGTTCCTTCCCCTAACCTGGATGCATAATGGCACACATAAATATATACCTAGACACACGCACACACACACATCCAAATACGGGGTGATTTATAAACCACCTATATATTTTTTGGTGCCGTATATGGTATCAATCGATTCGTCTGCTACTCCTGAGCAGTTTGCCATAATATTAGTGCGGTGCGAAAGATCCTTCGGAAGAAAGGACCGAAAAAGTCATAATAAGCGTAACATTTCTTGACTCTTGCATAACTCCACACCAAACCAGAGGATGAGCTCAACCATCTTCGACTTTGACAAAAAAAATCGGTATGCATGTAGAGGCATTGATTATAATAAAAGAAATTCCAGATTTTTTTATCGTGCTCCAATCTCGAGATATGTGCATTTAAGTGCCACCTATTTTTGGCCCCTGGCGCCTACAGGTATACTGTATGGACAGGAATTGCGAGACAATTTTTGCAATAAATTCTCTTCTATTTGAGAGAAAAGTTTCACTATGGTGTCATTTTAATTGTGAAATTGTCGTCTTTAGATTGATTTAAGGCATTATTTTCGAAGCTGAAACAAGAACTTCCACTTAATCAAACAGTGTGATTACGTTCAGGGGTCGATATCTACACTTGCCATTGTTGGAACTCGTGGTTCTAAGACTTGATTCCAAGTATATGTTATGCCCTTTCTAACAATACTACATTTGAAATTAACACGCAATTATCTGATGAGCTATAACCCATAACGGACGGGAGGAACAGTATACAGCACGACAGCGCACATTCCCTTGGTCCCAAGCATAGCCATCTGGAAACTTGATTGCCAACCGACATACATGCCCGATGCAAGGGTCAGATCTGTCCTATGGAGCCGATCCGCATCCTGGTAGTGCTCAAAATCATCCCCCTAATGTACCCAAGCGTTCGAAATCAGGACTGGTTTCAATTTGGGCCTACGGAGCAGAACGTGCGGAAAACGTGCGCATAGGTGATTGGGGTTTCCTTAATGATTGAACGCACCACCTATCGAATGTATGTTGTTTGAAAGTCGACATTTGTGTCTCATTAGAATGATATGGGACAGAAATAACTGGAAATTCTCATATAAGGGAAATTGGGATCGACGGGAACCAGCTGATTTCTGGGAGTTCCGAATTTCTTCAGTGCGTCTCACTTAAATACTGTGGGTGTCCATCTAAATATTATGACCAGAAGGCGATACTTAATGGGTGAAAAGTCCTAAAAGTTTTACCGTATTGACGTTATAAGGCAAATAACATAATTCAGTCATAAGAATAGCATTGTAATGAATGCCTTCCCAGGGGATGTGCTCAGAACCAACAATGAGAGAACGAGTAATTGTTGGCTCCGGACATTGTTCATTTGATAACTTCTGGAAATGATCCTTGTATGTCATCATTTTGTCGCACCAGTCCCGTTAATGGTTTACGACAATGCTTCTCGAAAGTCCACAGCATTTAATTAGTGTTCCAAATTATTACTTTTAATTTTGGTTTTGCGCTCAAAATGCCACGAAAATGTTGGGGGAGTTTAAACTATTATGCGGTGCGATCCACCGAAAAAGGTAGAAAGAGACAGGTTCTGGAGTCACAGAAGGCGGATGAAGGTGCAGAATGGCGTGCAAAAAATGTTGCTTCACAGGCAAATTCCAGATACAATGAAACTAACAAAGACAAAAACCCATGCATTAAATGCTTTGATTCGACTTATTCCACCGCGTGCCGCCACTGCCTTTTACACTAGTCTAATTGATGTGTACAGTAGAGTATATACGATCGCGACTGAGTCAATGAGTGACACTAATTCTAAGGGTGGATTTTTGAACCGAGCTCTAAAATAATCCTGCTCTATTGGATAATACAGCTCTATAAAGAGGAGCATTATTTTTTCGATTTTTGAACTGGCCAGATAATGCTGTGGACTCTATTCCTAATATATCTATTAGACCTGAAAAATAAATTTTCGGTGAAAAAATACGTCAAGGAGTTAGCACGAAGCGATACGATTGCACACGATGCAAGCCGTGCAGCCCTTCCATTGCGACTGATGAAAATAATCCAACATTATCGACGAAAGAGGGCCTCTGGACCTACTCTATTACAACCACGAACTGATGTCTAAATAAAATGGAGCATTATGGAAAATGCTCGGTTCAAAAATTGCTTCTTTGATAATAGAGCATTTTCCTGGAAATTAAGCTGCATTATCGGATAGTGCTCTGTTCAAAAATCCACCCTAAGTATGTTCTAAACGTTGCCGGAAACTGAAATTTGGTACACCACTAGCTATCAGATTTCCAAGTACCGAAGTATAGCCGATTTTGGAGATGCATACCCTGTGGGCATATTTTCTTTCAAAAGTGGTGGAAGTTAAAAAAAAGAAACCTTTTCGTTTCAGCGGAATGGAGACATATTGATAAACTGATGAGTTTGCTTGCCCGAAGGGCAAACTCGCTATGGACGCGGTTTCGGCGCTCTGAGATCTAAGGCATCCGTTTTCGATGCTCACCCCTCCTAGTGCGGTCAAACTGCTTTGTTCATGGGTTCTATTCTCGCACCTTTAAAATGAAGGTGGCAAAGAACATATTCTAAGTGACGTCATGTCGTTTGTAGCATATGGATCACCAATTAACAATTGTAAGTGTGACGTTTAGTGTTCCATTGGCTTTAACTCTAAGTTGGCTGATATTAAAGATCGAAGTAGGCCTGAGCAATCGCGGAAGAGTTGGATATAAGCTTGCTGAATCATTCCTATCAGGACAAGTACCTCAAATGTCGAACTGTATCTGCAGCATGCAAGCCAACATCAATTTATTTTCCATCCCGTTTCCTTTGAGGAGGAGTGTGCATTAGAGTAGTATTGGCCTAAGCGTCCATCCATGGGGTAGGCCTATGCCTGCGAAATCGGTCCCCCCACCCCTCCCCCAAAGGCCTTGATTTTTAAAAATCAAAATCATTAGTTCTATGATTTCTAGTGTGCCTAACTTGAAATCTTTTCTTGGAAATGAAAATGGGACTGAATAAAAGGGCACTGATGGGTTTTAGCAACAATTTTTTTTCTTTCGAAATGTAGGCTGAGAGAACTCCATTCCTTCCAATTTCAGCCTAATACCTTTCCGCTTTTTCCTAGCGAAAAAAAAATTATTTGGAAAAGCGACCCACCCAAAAGCTGTGCTCAGGGGAGACGCAGAAGAAAAATTTGAATTTTTTCTTAAATCAACATCATGTTCGTTATGCGTGCGCCAGCTACTTTTCTATTTCTGCCCGATTCGCTAGGATATGGAATATTATTTTGAAACGTTACGTCCCCAAGAAATATGGACCCCAAAAGTATTTTGGAAATTTGACGTTTGACATTTGAGCTCAGTGCATTAGCAGTCACGTTCTTGCCAACTTTCAGCTTTCCATTTGTCTCCGTTTGATTAAAGGAAAGAGGACTATTTGAAAATATGTTCCCCGAAAGGTGTGCCCCTATGGCATGTATCACCGAAGTATAATTTTTCCGGAACTCAGCATGCGATTAGCTATTTATGTCAGTCAGTTAGCTACTCACGATCGTCTATATATCAATAGGCGCGGTAGCGCCTATTCCCTTTCTTCAACCCCTTCCTGTCACAAATTCCAACCTCCTCGTATTCCTCTCTGAGAGGATCTACAGGTACGAAATTGAGCAGACTTCTTCCCATGTCAACACAGAATCGCTCCAGCAAATTTGAAGTTCTATCTCCCCCGGGTTGTGAAGAAAACTGAATCTTCCTTTTTGAAGATGCCAATTTCATTCCGTTTTTTTGTTTTTTTTTTTCTCCCCCCCATGGCTAGGCACTCCTGGGAGGTTTTCGGAAGAAAGAGACCAACCATAAGAAAGATATTAACTCGTAGATGACGAAAAGTGGCTTTTTTGCTGTTTGCGGTGCTCCATTTCGCCATAAAAAAATGAAATTAGCTGTCGTTCAATTAGGCTTGGAGAGCTTGCTCCGGCACCGTTCCCCAGTGTTGCCGGATACCGTGCAGAAATTATGCCAGATTCAAGACTGTTTCAACCTTCGTATTGGCGTCTGGATCTTCTATTTTTTAATGCATGAGACATGTTTATGCTGATTTCATTAAATGAGTTGAGAATGAAGCAGTGGTTAGCTGTTATTGATCGATGTGGTGGGATATGCTGATATTCGGGCATCCCTGAATTAACAGGATGGCGCGTACCATGGATTCCATGCTGCTTCAGGGCAGTCTCTCCTCATACCTATTCGAGATGGTTCGAAGAACTCATGATGAGCCTAACGTTCAACGTCCGCACTGAAATGGTTCATGAAACGCGAAACAGTCTTCCAGTCGGTCTAACGTTACACGTCCACTCTGAAATGGTTCATGAACGTATGAATAGGTCGTCGATTGGCCTAACGTTACACGTCCTTAACCAGATGTCTCCAGAAGGCCACGATTCACGCTTATAGCCCTAATTGGCGCCGTAAGTCGAGAATTGAGTTTCTTTTGAAAAGGAAAAGGTAGGCCTTGACGTGATCTGAAGGCAGTCTGTTGGTTAGGCCTAAGCCTTACGTTAGTGAGTCCCGTAGGGAGGCTGCANGGGGGGGGGTGGGGGGGGGGGGGGGGGGGGGGGGGGGGGGGTGTTGAAGAAAGGGAAAGCGATTGAAAATTGGTTTTCACATTACTTCATAATACTATATATAATATATATAATACCATAGTCTATACATTATACCATAGCGAGTTTGTTTGCCCAAAGGGCAAACAAACTCGCTATGGTCGCGCCTTCGGCGCTCCATTACCTGGGTTAGTAATTATTTCATTAATTTTTTTGCGAAATAGGAAGCACGTATGTTAAGTACGTCCCCATTGAAGTACGTAACATATGGGGACGAAAGCCCTGATTTTTATCAAAATCATTATTTCTGTTATTTTTAGTGTGCCTAACTTGGAATCTTTTCTTGCGTCCCTTTTTGTAAGGGTGGAGAATATATATTGAATTACTTCCCTAATATAATCTATGCTAAGGGGACATATTTCAAACGTAGAATTTGTCCTGTACTCAACCATCAAATAAGTACTTCTGAGGGAACTTCAAATTTTCTGTATTTGTATCGTTGCATCAAATAAATATTCAGGATAATGGGATTGTAAGAAAGTGCTCTGATGGGTTTTAACGAAAATTTAATTTCTTCTCAAATGTAGGCTGAGGGAACTCCATGCCACCCAGTTTCAGCCTTATACGTTTCCTCTTTTTGCTCGCGGAAAAAATGCATTTGGAAAAGCGACACACCCAAAAGCTGTGTTCTGAGGAGACGCACACCAAAAGTTTAATTTTTCCTTAAATCAACATCATGTTCGTTATGCGTGCGCCGTCTGCAACTTTTCCATTTCTGCCCGATTCGCTGGGATATGAAAAATTCTGTGAAAACTTTACGTCCCCAAGATATATCTCCCCTCAAAATATTTTGAAAATTTGACATTTTACATTTGAGCTCAGTGCGTCAGCAGTCACGTTCTTGCCAGGTTTCAGGTTTCCATGTGTCTCCATATAAATGAAGCAAAGAAAACTAATTGAAATGTGGTCCCCGAAAAGGTGTGCCCCTATGGCATGTATCACCAAAGTAGAATTTTTCCTCAACTTAGCATGTGAATAGCGACTTATGCCAGTCAGTCAGCTACTCACGATCCTCTACATATAAAAAAGTGGATTTATTTATTTACTCAGCTATTCAGGTTCTTCTTTGGCAAGTTTAAACTTTCTAGGGCCCTCTGTTTTGCTGGATCGAGAAAATACGCATTTTGCAATATATGTGCCCTCAGGCGTTTTAACCGAAAAGTACATATTTCTTCTTTTTTTTTTACCGAAATCAATCCTCAGGGGTCCCACATGCCCACAAAGTTTCAACATTTTACGTTTGCACTTTTCGCTGTTGAAAAAACATGTTTTGAAAAGCCGACGCATCCAAAAGCTCTGCCAGGAGGGGATGCACCATGAAAGCTGAATACTCCCTCAACTCAATATTGATAATATCATGTCACTTATACATGTGCCAAGTTTCACTTTTCCATTTCTTTCCAATTCGCCACGACATTTTTTTCTTAAAACATCGCCCTTCGAAAAAATTCCCCCAGAGGATCTATCGAGACTTAACATTTTCCTTTAACTCCTTGTCTTAGTAGTCACATAGATGCAAAGTTTCAGCTTTCCATGTTCATCAGTTTAACTGATGCAAAAAAATTATTTGAAAACATCTCCCTTTGAAATGTGTGCACCTGGGGCATTTACTTCCAAAGTCTGAATTTTTCTGCACGCAGCATCCCAATAGGTAGTTATGTACCAAGTTTCATCTTTCCACAACAGCTCAATACGCCAGGGCAAAACAAATTACGTGAAAACGTCGGCCGCTAAAAATATGCCCCCACAGGGCATGGATCTTAAATTTTACATTTCTCCTGAACTCATCGTCTCGGTAGGCATGTCCATGCGAAATTTCAGCCTCCCGTGTTTCTCCGTTTTACTAATGCAAAAATATTGTTCCGGAGCGCGAATGAGTAATGCGGAAGGCTTAAGAGGCCGAAAGAACACCAGAGAACGGTCGGGAATCGAACACGGGTCTTCTGATTGCCGATCAGGTGTGCTACCGTTACACCACCGAACCCAGGACGTCCAGTCAACCCTCTCGATGCCATCCTAATCTGTCACAAAATACATATTTAAAAACTTCTCTCCCCCCCCAAAATGTGTATCTAAAATGTGTAATAATATTATATGTTTGGGCGTCTGTATGTGCGCAGTGGCATGTGCGTATGCGCGGCGCCTTCTGACTGGCTCCGAGTATCTGTTTCGCTCTCTCGAGCGACCACTTTCTCTCCGGCAATTGCGGCTCCCGGATTCATTCTCGAGAAAGGGAGAGACAGGACTTGTACTTCTTATGCATACCCCCTCCCCAACGCTTAAGGGGGGTTCACAATTCGATGCAGACGTTCCCGCGGAGACATGTAAAACGTCCACACTTATAACACTTCGAGTCCCCTTTCACCCCGCTGGAGTAAGGATGACTTCCTGACTTCCATTTTCCTGAATATTTTTTTGATCCAACGTAACAAAGACAGAAAATTTAAACTTCCCTCAGAAGTACCTGTTTGATGGCTGAGTACTCGAAAAATCCCACTTTTGAAATATGTTTCCTTAGCGTAGATTATAGGAGGAAAGTATTTCAAAAGGTATTCTCCACCTTTACAAAAAGGGACGCAAGAAAACATTAATGATGCATGGGCATATGTGATAACATAATAATCCACAGCAAAAAGTAAGGAATGGAATGAAGAAAAGGCATTAGAAAAAAAGGGCAGGATAGCGAAGGAAAATTAAAAAAATTGAAAGGAACAAAGTGCGTGAGAAAAATTTGGCATATGTGAGAATTCACATATGCCAAATTATCACCTAGCCTTTTCACTTCCATCACGAGCTTGGCAATCTAAGAAACCACCTTATCCTCTATGAGAGTTCTGAGGCCTTGTAACTCCACATTGACTGCAAGGATGGGGGATGCCTCCGACTCGGAATCAGACGGCAAGGCGTGGGGTTTGTGCTTTGGGGGCATGACTGAGAGCCTCCACGCCAAGTTCACGCGGTTTCACAAAGAAAAAACACAGCTGTCTGGATGGGTCTTCGGATCGTCTGTTCTCATCGCGTGGATCTCTGACTATGTATATACACTGACTATACACTACCTTCCTTAATCCGGTGCTGAATGAAGTCCGTGTCGCACACACGACACCAATGAAGCACTTGTGAAGCAAGTATGACTAAATCCCTATCCCTACTGAAAACTACGAAGCGCAGAAGGAAAAGGGGGATCTTTGAGAACAGCTGCTGAATCCTCTGCAGCTGCTCGACATGGAAGCATCCGACCGACGTCCAATCTCTCGCGAGAGCAGGAAAGTACCGTTGTTCCCACTCTCATTGCCATCAACTTCTCCCTCGTGTTAACTGTAAGTATGGCGTTGTCTAAGATAAACGAATTCGTGAAAGTCCTCCTCGGGTCGTCTAGTGTACCTGTGAAGAGGGAATTTTTCTGAAGTCTACAGCCCAATAGCTAATTGTGTACCAAGTTTCAGATTTTTTCTAGACGTAAGTGCGCAATGACTTAATTCAAAGGTGACCAATGAAGATTTCATGGCTTTCGCAGAATATTCAATGACTTTCATTGAGGCTCAAAGTTGTCTACACTCAACCACAGCCCTACTTGCCTAAATTTCAATGGGTTATCTTTAGACTCGTGGGAATTTTCGAAGATGTTACTGCAGACCTTTAAAATTCCGCAGCAACTAAACCAGCTAAGACAAGATTCTGAAAGAAGTTTTCTTCAGAAGCAAGATTTGGATGGAATGTAAGCAGCCGTGGCTTTCACCAATTCTCATATATACACCTTTGAATAGCGGATTTGTTAATTTTCCGCACCCGGTATATGCATTATCATTTACACTAACCGACCCGTGGAAGATTTTCACGAACTCTTCGGCAAGAATTCCCGAGTTCATTCGGCGGCGATAAAACTCAGTGGGTCCTCTCATCGCTATAGGCAGCATCCCATCTTTCCCATTTTTTCCACGTTTAATCTCATTGAAGGAAGGATGACTTCCTCGTCGGGGTGAGACCTTCCCCCTCACATTTATCGGAATCCCGATTCCTTTATTGATCGGCGCTTTTTCCTAACGATCCAAATCCTGTCCTCTTCGTCCGTAAAGTCCACCTCCATCACTTTTCATGCAAGCCTATGAGTGAAATATAAGGATATGGAAACAGGATGGTAACAACACGACCAGCGGCATCCTTGCGATCTAAGGATGAGCCTTTCTGTTCTCTCCCACCCTGATGGGATCCCGCCGTTTTCACCCTTTGGAGTCCCTCTCCCTGTGAGTGCCGATCAATATGAGGACGGGGTCCTGATCGATAAAGGGACTGAGATCCCGATGAATACGAGGGCGGAGATCTCATCCCGGCGAGGAAGTCGTCCTTCCTCCAGCGGGATGAAAGGGGACTCCAAGTGTTATGCGTGGGTACGTTTTACACGTCCCCGCGGGAATGCCCGTATCCAGGTGTGAACACCCCTAAGTGGGGGGAGGGGGGATGCGCAAGACGTAGAATTCTTTTCTCTCCCGTTCTCGAGTATGGATACGACAGCCGCAATTGCCAGAAAGAAAGTGCGATCTCGAGAGTTAGACACCCGGAACCAGGCAGAACAAGGCGCCGCGCATGCGCGCACGGCTCTTGCGGACATACAGACGCCCTAGCATAGTATATATATAAATAGATGTACTAGTGAGTTTGTTTGTCCTTTGGGCCAACAAGCTCCTATAGTACCACCTTCGGCGTTCCACGATCTAAGAATACCATTTATTCATTTGAAAGATCCGTTTTCGACCAATCTTGAAAAATTCCTGAGGTCATAGGTAAACATTGCTCTGTCAAGTTACTTCCCGTCATATGACGTTATTCGCAAATTAAGAAAAGGAGATATACAGCTTCCTAAAATAGTCACAACGTGAGGTACTTCTGTATCGTATTTTACGGTGCTTCTAAAAAAAGGTGTTCCACGATAAAACGGAGCTAAAGAAGAAGGAATTTCCCTGGAATCGTCTTTCATAGATACTTCTAATGGAATTTCAGTTTTTTGTACCTGCCTCATTACCGGGACAATGCATTTCAAAATGTCCCCCAAAAAAGTGTACCCCAAAGGGAGATATCTTAATAGGAGGGTTCTTTTGAAATATACACCTCGATGGGTGCCAGTGTACCTAGGTTCCAGTTTCTGTCTCCGTTTCGTGGGAGCGAACAATTTTGGGAAGATGTCTGCTTCAAAAAAGTCCCTCAGAGAATGTAACTGAAAAATATGAAGTTTCCTGAAATCAGTACTCATAGAACCACAAGATTACCAAAAATCTGCTACCTATTATTCCACATATGAGCTTCCTGCAACGAAAATGTTTTTGAAAGAAAATTCTCCCTGCAACTGTCTCCCTATGTCCCTGCAAAAAAAATACTCTGAGAGGATGAACGTTTAAATTTAAAAAATGTAATTTAAATCAGTACCTAGAGAACTGTGCCAAATGTCCAATACTTGCCCCGTTGCAAGAAACTAAAAAAGTTTATTTCAAAATACGTTCCTCTCGAAAAAAGCGCCATAAGAGGATGAATCTGAAACTGAAAAATATAATATCCTACTGACAACTACTCGAGTATGATAATATACCTTCTTCAATTTGTCTTTTTCCGTGGCAAAAAATATGCGAAGAATTCCGATTAATTCTTGGCCCCGAAAGGTCACATATCGCAAAAGTAAGATTTTTTAGAGTTCAGTTCCTCAGTAATATTCGTCTTTCCCATATCATCTCTATACATCTTCCTATTTTGCTGAAGGGAAAGATTATTCTAGAGGTACTTCCTTATCAAAAAATTTACCCCGAGGAATATACTTCAAAATAGTAATTTTCCTGATATCAGCACCGGAAGATCTTCAGATTGGCAAATGTTAGTTTAATTATTTGCCCAAATTGCTGGAGCGAACACGTCATTAGGAAAAACGCCCAACCAAATATTATGCCCTGAGAGTATGAAATTGAAAATCAAGTTTTACCCTAAATTAATATCATCACAGCTAATTTTCTGCCAAATTTCACCTTCTCCTTCTGCCCAATTTCCTGGAAGGAAATTAATAGCGGCCAAAAAATAATGTCTCCAAGAGATTTTTCTGTAAGTGCAACTTTTCCCAATATCAGTGCATCAGTAGCATATCCATGCTTTTACCTCAGCTTTCTATGTCCCTCCGTTTGACTGTAGCTGAAATATTTCTTTATAAATAATTAGCGTCCGTCACTCTGTCCCTCACGATCGTCTACAATGGGTTGCAACAAAAATCGTTTCACTTTTCATTAACCTATGTATTCATTATTTATTAAGATAGAGTGTTAACATGTCATCTGATAGACTAATTTTTTTTCATGTTGAGAAACATTTTCAAACTGTTTACCTTTCCTTTGGATAATCTGTAATATACAGTAGTGTTTTTAATAACATTGCCATTTGTCTCATGTGTTATGCCTCTGAGCGCTGTAACCGCAAAATATTTGAGTCTATCAGTGATGCGTGGATTTGTGGAGAACACCGTCTTTTAAGGAAATCCCATTTAAAAAAACCAGCAGTTCAATACCAAGGGATCTTCCTGGCTTATCAGGCTTATAAACGCTATTATTAATCGTTGGAATTAACTGGGTGTATCAATAGAAAAAAAGCAAAAGGTGTGAATTGTGCGGAAATTTACTGAAATGCATTCGCCTGTTAATACGAAGAAATAATTTAGAAGATGGTTTCCTGATAAAACACTCCCGTCAAATCTAATGATTTATACATTATAAGATATACGACAAATTTGATACGTTTAAAGAAAAAGCGTTGAGTGTGAGAGGGGACACCTCGTGGCCAGGAAAATCTCTTGATCTTAGACTGCTAAATTTATTATGGGGTCTCCACGAACACATCATTGATAGACTTAAATGTTCTGCAGATACAGCGCTCAAAGGCATACCACACATGATAATACACAATGTGATGAAAACACTGCTGCATGCCGCAGATTATCCATAGGTGTGGTGAACAGTTTAAACATACAATGTTCACCATTAAAAAACTTCTTGAGTTCCTATATCAGATGACAAGTAATTTCATGTTCTACCTTAATGAAATATAGGTGAATGAAATGTGAACCATTTTTGTTGCCCCCTATACATTATATTAGATTATGATATTTATATTATTTTCAATGATCCAGGCAGAGAGAAGTCATACATCATCTGAAAAAGGATACTCATGTGGATAAAGGTTATCAGTTGCGTAGCTCTCAGGCACTACCACCAATAAGTACTTCGATACAGGTCCGAATATCTCTGAGGCCCGTTGCAAAACCACCATGATCGTCCCTGATTCTGTAACTCCATAGAATCTTGGTCGGGCGATGTCCGTGGGGACTGAGAAATTGTCGGAATATGTTAACGTAGATTGAATTAGAAAAACGAAATACATGCTGGACGTGTCTCACCATCTTCGTCCGTGGTGATATGGGTGCTGAATGCAGGACGATAGCCAAGATCTGATGGTATGGCAGTCACATTCACCCTGTATGTCGTGAAGGGCATCACTTTACCGATGGATTCGGAATTGTATACGATTTTCGTAGGTATAACTTCCCTCTGTGTGATTCCATAGTCGTTCACAAACTCTTTTACAGCATCAAAAGAAACCTTTAATAAATAGATTTTCCCTCAATAAATATGGGTTAGAACATACACAATTCCGCTATGTTATGTTTAAAACTAGTGTTGGAAAATCAGTAAGGGAACATGCATTGGTTCAGTGAAAACCTATGATCATGGACTATTGGCGTCCGAAAATATGAAACCTCACTCGCTCACTTCTATGAAAACTCTCCTTCGAGCTCCTACTAAGACTTTTGCATGTTTAGATGATATCGCTCCTACACTCAATTCAAATTACGCAAATTTTGCTGCAATATATGATGTGCTTCTTATAAAACTAGATGAATAGTTTCTGAATGTATTGGAGATTTTGTCAAATTCTAAATGAATATTTTTGTTGAGCCATACGTTTCTTGCTTTTACTTGAAGCTATCCTGATTTCATTCCCTTTTGGAAAAAAAAAATTTCTTCTTCAAAATGAGATTATATGAGGCTCGTTATATTTGAGTTATTTTGCATATAAATTTTTTCGTGAGTCCATATATTTATATTTAATTCTATTAGCACCAATCACTTTTTGTCCCGTACATTTTTTTACCAAGTATTAAGATTGGTGGCTGCGTCATTCCGGAAGAATGATAATATAGATATGGGTAAACACATAAATGGTTTTTTGTTATGTAATTTTGCAAAATCAAAGTGGCAAAGAGCAAAATGGGGTTACGGGATCAAACGCTAAAATGGGTACCTTTGTTTTCGAAGGATGAAGATTAGTAGGGGTCCTCAAAAGGAATACCATGTTTCCATAATCTTGTCTTATATCATTAAATATTGGAATAATCTCTGGCTCAATCATCACCAGGATCTTCTCTGATTGCTTCCCCAAGTACCCCTGAATAATATACAAGACATCAGGTCACCCTTGCACTTAACTCCGTCGGGAAAAACAAAAGTAAGAAATCCACTCCTACTTCTTTGGTTCGGGCAGCCACTTTGATAGAATAACTTGTCCATTTTTGAAGGTTTTCCACCAGGGCTGAATACGTGCATAGGGTATCTACATGCATCCACTGGTCCAGATCCATGTCGTCCTTCATGGTGTAGTATATCTGAGAATAAATAGATAAACAAGAATCTGGACCTGATCCAAATTATTCTTGGGCAGGATAGTAATTATCTTGAAATACCCTATATCCGGACATGTGTTGTGGATCTTCATCCCACCAGACTTCCAAGGAATCTTCCGATGTTGCTGCGGCACGAACATTACGTGGAGCTCCAATAAATTCAGATATTGTCATCAAATATGTCCTCTCTGAGAAAGGGCCAATGCCTCCCACGGTGTAGGCAAGGACTTGGAAGTAGTACGAAGTATCCTCTTCCAAATTGTTCAGAACCAGCTAAGGATGCATGAAAAAGCATTCGTCAATTCTTTATTGGCCAAAGTAGAAACTATTACCGCTACCAACAAGGCTACCTTCGGCGTGGAAATATTCCTTTGACTGATAAGGTCATCATTCAACTTCTTGTGGAACTTAACAGTGTAGCCAAGAATACGTCCATTGCAATGAGAGGCCTCTGGAACATCCCAGGTGAGTAGGACGGAGTCTGAAGTGATGAAACGGAAGGATATTTTTGTAGGGGGTCCAGTAGGAGGACCTTCAGGTGTTGTCAAATAAGCAAATCCCTCCTGACCATAACCGCCACCGTTGCGGCCAGCCAATCGGAACTCATACCTGAAGCCTTTCTCTGTGAATGCGAGGTGGACATGATACATGATTTGGGAAAAACAATTATCGTTTTAACAATGAGGACCTGGATTGACTCATCTTACCCAGGTCGTGCATAGTATATTCATTCTTTTCGAAGTTGTTCAATATGAACTCCTTCATATCCAGCTGCTCCATTTCATTTTGTGAGGAATTCCCACAGAAGTTGGGTTGTTTCCAGTAACGCAAGCGCCACCCCTGAATTTCCCCAAAGGTATGGGAGGGATTGGTCCATGTTGTATTAATGACCACATAAGGAGACTCCTCTGCTGAAAGACTGATTGGATATATACAGGTGAATTTTCCATATGGGTCATCCCATCGTGACTCATATTACAAATGCACAACATTTTCAAACGTTAATTACACCTTGTCTTCTGGATTTTTAATTTAAGATACTCTTACGGCATAACGATTGCAGGCCTTGAACTTTTGTGGGATATAATTCTACGAATTTTTAAAGTTCTGAGTGCGAGGAAATAGAAAAAAATAATGTGACTAATTTTACAATGAAGGGACACGAGTTCCAAATGTAGGTCTTCAGTAAATGAATTCTATTTCATTTTTAAGTGAAGTGACAGTACTTCGCTGTCATTCAGGTAACATATAAGTGATAGTGTATGAACTCTAAAATTCATTCATAGAGTTTTTTAACAAGGTAATTTCGTCGTGACTCATGTTACAGAGAATGTGAATCACGTTACAGAGAACTCAAGAAACTTGAATGGTCAACTTTTTCCATTAATTTTTTACATTATTCACCATCATAACAATGGTAAGGAAAAGAACATGCATTAATATAATTATAAACATGAGACTCTATTAATTTAGCTAAGAAAATGTAATGGGAAATTGCATGTGAAAAGGGGCAAAAGTATCAACATTTCAAAACGAATGGGCATTCCAACAGTTGCTGTCCCCACGAAAAGTGTGTCAGAAAGCATATAATTTGTGCTTTTTGATCATCCTGGCTGTAATGTCATGAAGCATAGTCATCTTGAATTTAAGGAAACTAATATATAGCCATATCTTAACTCTTTAGAGCAGTGGTTCTCAACCTGGGACGTGCCACCCCCCGAATGCGTGAAGGTTCAATTGGAGTAAAAGGAAGTTTGAGAACCACTGCTTTTGAGTATACACTTATTCTGATACTATTTTGAAGATGTTGGCAAGAGCTGAAAATCTGGCAGTGGGTGAAATATGATGCGTCCTGTCAGAGAAATCATCTTCTTCTCAAGTACCAATGCAAAAAAATCGTTTGCGACCTCTTGAAAATGAATGGGTTTTCAAGTGTAACATGAGTCACCAAAATTACCATGACTCTACTTTCACGGGCGAATGCTATTGGTTCTTCTTAGCTATGCAGGATTCCAATCCATCATAAATTACACAGGTGCAATATCCTTTGTGCAACTTCATAACGTGAGTCACAAGTGACATGAGTCCCAGTGTTGATTATCTCTATATTGAATTAGTGTATTAATGAGTAAAAAATGCGAGAAGGTGCCGCTGAAAAGCAGAAACAAAATAAGAAAATATGAAGCATGAAGGGAATAATGATGAATGATGATAACATGTACCTTTGATGATAACATGATCAGTCATCGAAGCACTTAAAACTTCGCCCTAGATGCTCCAAAATAGTACGTTGGTAGTAGCATGCATAAGGTTGGCCAAAGTAGTAAACCACTTGAAATTTGACATTAAAATCCGTATTTTTTAAACATATTGACTTGAAAGTGTAAGGGAACGTAATCTGATATGTTTTCAAGGTCTTTTTTAATGCCATGTGTCTGACACATCCTATTCTTCAGTTATGACTGGTTTTGTTAAATGGTCATTATTCTGATCGAATAAGCATGCCACTGCCGCTGCGATGGATGAATCCATGTTTGAATTAAATTTTCATGATATGCATGCACAAACAATAAATTTTCTGACGGTGAAAAACACTTTTGGCGACATCTTGTGAAGATTTCACTATGATCACTCAAGAACAAATTTTTTTAATGAAATGCAATTGTGAATCCGTGCCTCGCAATGACAGTAGGAACCCTTTTCACTCAATATTATAATCATTTCAACGGAATTTATCATAACTCACGAATGGGACATTAGAGCCAAATGACATTTTCAAACTTATTGAAGAACATGTCAGGCAATGTTCCTTTAAATTTTGAAGCCAATCCGTTCTAAAATATGGGTTTCATTGCACATTTCGTGTGGCGTTCCTTTTTTTTGGTTAACATTATAGTTCCCTTACATTATACTTTCTTTATACTTCTCTTCTTGCTTCTGCTTTTCTTTCCTTCGTTTCTGCCTTTTAGGAGCACTTTATTGCATTACTTTATTAACGTAAACAACAAATCAATGTAGAGAAAGAAAATCATCACTGCATGACTCGTGCCACTCGTGACTCACATTATGAAGTTGCGCAGCCAATGGATATCGCACCAATGCAGTTCCTAGTCCAATTCCTATTTTAATTGATGATACTAATGTATAGCTAGGAGGAATCAGCAACAGTTGCTCCTGAAAGCAATGACAAAGTAGTAACAAAACAAATTGACTCGTGACTCGTGTTTAAAGTGAAAATCCATCTTCAAGATGCCGCAGAAGGTTAGTTTCTAAGGATAATTGAAAAGAAGATGGATCCTTTGATAGAACACATCAATTGTAACACACACCCAGATTTTCGGCTCATTCGTAAGTAACATCTTCAAGAAATCATCGAAAACAGTGAATACGATATGAAGAGTAGAGAAATTGCCACATTAGGTGCCTTACATTTATAATGGCGATGTTCCATGACATCGCAGCCAAGATGATCAAAACACTTCTTCAAAACACTTCAAAACATTCTTTGGACTTTAGGATGTACTCTTTTTGGCGATACCCACTGTTGGATTGCCTATTTATTTTTAAATTTTGATTCATTTGCCCCTTTTGCCGTGTAATGACCCATATATATCTCTGGAAACGTCTTTCAGGACTTAATTTTTTGGGGTGTTTAGCTATTGTTCAATATTCCTTTGGCAATGAAATGGTTTATGTCATCTTTATTGGCTATGCTCCCATCTAATCGAATATTTACCTTATCTGGAGGGTTGGACTTGAAGGAACTCCTCCAAGAGTATTCACGATGATGGGGCTACTCCGCCTACCTGTACCTTTACTTGTCTTGGCGGCCACTTCAACTTGATACGTCGAATTTGGTTGGAGATCCGTGACAGTATAAGTCCATGAAGATTCATTCATAATGCTGTGGGAGTGTGGCTTCACCGAAAGCTTTTCTCTACCATTCTCCCCACTGACGTATATCTGATATCCCATAATGAAGTCACGGTTTTTGTCTTTCATGGGAGGTTTCCATTCGACGGATATAGATGTGGTGTTAATCACCAGAGCCGTCATTTCGGTTGGCTCACTCGGCACTAAATTTCGTCAAAGAAGAAGCAAAATGATTACCCCTCTAAGAGGGGACGTGGACAGTAAAGGCAGAAATAGCATTTGACTCACAACACCAAGTCACATGCAGAAATGTAGCAATACGCTCCTGTCCATATATGTTATTTCCTAACTCATTGGATAAAAGCCCGTGTGAGCATGGGCTGTAATACGACTCCTTAAAATGATTTATTCAAGTATTGCCTCCATGTCATAAGCCTTTGATCTTGGATAAATAATATTGAGTTCGTCACTCCCGTCAAATTTTCCGATAAATTTTTCGGGAGTTCCGTCCCATCATATTCTAATGAATTTAATGGGAAAACCAATTTCCATCGCTTTCCCTTTTTTCACCCCCTCCCCCCCCCCCAGGCTTAGGCCTAACCAAGAGACTGCCTTCAAGTCACGCCAAGGCCTACCTTTTCCTCAAATTCCTTAGAAACTCATTTCTCGACTTACGGCACCAATTAGGCCTATAAGGGTGAATCGTTGTCTTCCAGACATCTAGTTAAGTAGGTGTAACGTTAGGTCAATCGCAGGCCAATTCATACTACATGAACCATTTCAGAGTAGACGTCTAACATTAGACCGATTGGAGGCCTGTTTCGAGTTTCATAAACCATTTCAGTGGGACGTGGAACGTTAGGCCTATCAGAAGTTCCTCGAATAATTTGCAATAGGTCTGAGGAGAGAATGCCCTCAAGCAGCATGGAATTCATGGTACGCGACATCCTGTTAATTCAAGGATGTCCGGATAAGATATCTGCATATCCTACTACATTAATCAATAACAGCTAACAACCGCTTCATTCTCAACTCATCTCATGAAATCAGCATAAAATGTCTCATACGTTAAAAAAAGGAGATCCAGACGCCAATATGAACGTTGAAACAGTCTTGAATCTGGGATAAATTCGGCAAGGTATCCGGCAACGCTGCAGGACGGAAAAGGAGGAAGCATTCTAAGCCTAATCGAACGACAGCTAATTTCATTTTTTATGGTGAAATGGAGCATCGCAAACAGCAAAAATGTCACTTTTCGTCATCCACCAGTCAATATACAGTATTTCTCATGGTTAGTCTCTTTCCTCCGATAACCCCCCAGTAGTGACTACCCAGGGGGGGAGAGAAAACAAGGAATGAAATTCACATATTCAGCGTTCTCCACAACCCCTGGAAGATAGAGCTCCAAATTTGCTGGAGCGATTCTGTGGTGAGAGAGGAAGAAGTATGGCAAATTTTATTCCTGTTGACGCTCTCAGAGAGGAATACGAGGAGGTGGAATTTTGCGGCGGGAAGGGGTTGAAGAAAGGTAATAGGCGCTACCGCGCCTATTGATGAGTCACATCGTGCGAGTTTAGAGCTTCCAGTTATTAGATGGAAAATGCGGGATGCTTCTCACGATCAGAGACCGCCATTTCAATCTGTAACAATCTTTACAAGTTCTTTCTACTAACTCTCTAAAAAGACAGAGTTCGAAATGAGAAAGTGGCATTTTCAAAATTTTTAAATTAGGGATACTGTTCCCCTAAAACAATTTCAGTTTTCAGTTCAGCAGTTGCATCCAAAATATTCTCCTTCCGCCACCACCTCCAGACCATGATGGAGGACCTCCACACATTATACTATAGCTCTTCGCCATGGTTCGGAGGTGGTGGTGGAAAGAGAATGTTTTAGATGAAACTTCCTATTTTCTCCACCTCCACATTTCATACCGTACAACTATTTGCGCACGGTGTCGAAGATGCAATTTTGGCACCAAGAAAGGTTACCGCAAAGAAGCAAATCAATGATTTCCTAAACCCCATTGAATTCTCTTTTCTTGTCATTAAAACCATTCTTCCACATACAAAATAACAAAGGTCATTAAAATCCTAAAAATGTTCGTACCTACTGTACATCAAGACAGATCATGTCCATATCCCTCAAGAAAATTTGTTTTTTTCCCGACTACACTCAATTCCAACAGAAATAGACATGCATCAGGTTGAAACTGTCGCGAGAATCTTCAAGAACTGCCAAAAACATTAAATAGCTTCTGAAAAGCCTTTGGCAGCCTTCAGTCGCAGAGGTGCTTTCAAACACACCGCTGAAGCACACACACTGAACATGTTGACTGGTGGCGCTGTGGTGGCATAAGCAAGGTAAGATAAGGAGAAAATTGAAGAATTGCCTGCAAAAAACGTAATACGTCTAGCGTTAACATCATTCCCACCAAGAGATTGTGAAACTCTCAATGCAGTAACGTCTCATGTTAATATGCTGTTACTTTTGAATTTGAAATTGAAAATTTTTCATTTGAATTTATTGAAATTTGAATTTCTAAAAATTAAGATGATGCTAAAAAGCACTACAGACTTCTGACACAAATAGAATATATACAGCGTGCTACAAAAGTCAGGAATCATAGGGTAATAAAATGGGGATCATATCCAGCATAGATTGTCTGAAACCTACAAACTAATCTGAGTTGATCCAGGAACTCCTGAGTTCTCTTAATCTCAAAGTCTGGTGAAAGTGGCCCAAATTTTTATGGGTGACCCATGGTGACTCAAAGTGGGCTAAATTGTCCAATTGACTGAATATGGGCCTAACTACCTGAGAGAATTTATACTTTCACAAAAATAGAAACAGTGACACATTTGACCCACAGTTGCACATAGAGACCCATTTCGGCTCAGGGTGAGCCAATTCGACCAATGATGACCCATTTCCACCAATGGTGACCTACCATGAATCTCACTATTTAATAGTAGCCAGAGTTGACCAAAAGTGATCCAAGGTGACCCATGCTGACCCAAATGTATCCAAATTGTCTATTCGATCCTACTTGGACCTCATTTTCCCAAGGCGATGTACATTTACTAAAATTTAAAAAGAATGACCAAGTTAGGTAACTTTTGACTGACATGGGTCACCTTGAATTAGTCAACCCTGGCCACTATTAAATATTAAGATTCAGGGAATGTCACGATGGGTCGAAATGGGTCACCATGGGTCGAAAGGGTCACCGTGGGTCGAAATTGGTTCGATTGTTATTATATTGTTGGTATGTACCCAAGAACCCAACCCAATGGATGAAACTCAGGATTTCAAGACATTCTGCAACCACATTATATATTTGTCCAACCCATAACGAAAGTTACAGATTGGACAAACATTGCATATTTTTAAAACTGGATTCATTTTTAAATATTACATTATCATACATATGTTGCATATCAATAGAAAGCGCTTTTTAAGAACTTGCATTTGACCCCTTAATAAAGGTTGTTTTATACTTAGATAAAGAGTTCCAAATTTTGTAGTAGTTATTTAGGCGCTTTTGCTAAAATCATTGTCTTATATCTCTGAAACGTTTCTACTTAGGATGCTACAATTTTGGATTTTTACTATCATCTACAATGCCAAACAACATGAATTTTCAAAATAAAATTTAAGACTGTGTTTAATTGTGTTTTTGGATTTAGCCAAAAAAACTTTATGGGGGGGGGGGGGAACAATTTTGATTTGATATGTCGCCCCTCATTTATTACACCTTGTACGAATTTATCACGCTGTCTCCTATCATGGCGCACCAATGCGCATCAGCATGGGCAGTTGCAGTCCTGTACCTAACAGGGTAAGCATGCAAGACGTGTTACAGGTAGAACAATCATGCTTGACATTTGCGGGTAAAAGCAAAAAGCAATAAATTTTCAAAATTATTTCAGAACTATGATGACTCCAATTATCTGTAATTCCTGGAGGTATGATGTCTTCAGGTTAAATATTTCAATTCACTAGTTTCAATTCGCTTATTTACGACACTACCATTACGGGTGAGACAGAACAAAGTACCAATTCTGAGCACACATATAAACCTCGGCAAAGCTAGAGAGACACTGCCTCTAATAGCAGTTGAAGTGCATTCTGAAAATGAATTAAATATGCTTGGAATGTTGCGCCATTTATTTTTAAAAATCAAGGAACGAGTATTTGTTTGGCAGAGAAATGTTCTGATTGTACTTAGGCAAAGACCCGTTACGGGTGGGACAAATTCAATTTTCTCTGTTAGGTGTGTCCCAGAAAAATGCTTCAAACAATGCCAAAATATGTCGAAAGAATTGCTCTGTTGTGTTATTGAAGCTTCAAATTTCGTCATGATAGGTTCATTCTTGCCAGAGTTATCGAATTTTTAAGTCTGAAGACACGCAATTGTTCCAGTTTGGCTTGATTCACCGCTGTATGAAACAAAAGCGCTTACTCTTGGATGGGAAAGACGACGTCGGCGGCGTCGTAACCAGCCCGTTTCTCTATTCGTATTGTTCACCCATAGGCCTACATGACAAGTGGCGGAGATGGACTTTAGGGATGATACGCACAGGGTAGCGATCGATGCTGAATACGAGTGCCATTCATTAAAAGTCCGTTCCGTAGCCGTGAATAACACGTTCGGGAAAGGGGGGGGGGGGCTGGGCAAGACGTATAATGTCCGGGCGACTGCTGCGTATAGTAATGAAACGAACGGTTTCCCCATAACCATAGTAACAGGTAAACGCAGCGTGACATGAGGCCATTAACGTTCGGAAACATGCAAACATTCACGGCGGGTTGCGAAGTGACTAACATGAGGCCGCCAATAAAAGCTCACATACCACATCGTCCTACGAGGTGACGATTTAAGGTAACACATTGACCTTTGGGCTGCCCTTCGTCTTCGCTCGGCGTCGGTTCCCCGTTCGCAGACAGAAATTATGGATGCTTTTGCCGCGTCCTGTCTTCTCACATGGCCATCTAGGAGCCAGGGGGGTGGGAGTATGGTGACCGCCTCTCATGACCATGTGCGCATTCGTTGACTTTACTTCCGAGCTTTTGCACGGATTACCTACTAGTGTTTTTGAATTTCGTGCCACGGTATTTCTGGAATAAATCCAGCTGATGTCCAGCAGGCGTTGCATGAGGAAATCCGCTGCATATTTCGTGAGGATGCTCAGAATGCCAGCAAGACATATCCAGAGAATGTGCATGAGATGATCTCTTATTTCCTGACGTCCACATGAATGGTATCTAACACTTCCGATCGGTCAGTTTCATGCTTCCTTGACGCAACGGGTGCGTCCTTATTTTCACTAATCGAGATAGCCATATTTCGGCAAATTGGCATGCATGACCAAATTGATTTATGCTTTCTGCAAACTACAAGTGAAGCGGCAGCTGCTTTCCACAAAGAATCTGGAGGGACCATAACATAACTTTAAACAAATGGTATGTATTCATGCATCTATAAGGAAATATGAGTTTGTTTCAGTTTGTTTTGAGTCAAGCAATCCCATGCATATGACTTTCAAAACCTCTATTTATCCCGAATTCCTGTGAGCATTAGAATGATGAACAGGCCATAACATTTTTGCCAATCGCACGTATTCTTCGATAGAACTGTTTGAAAAACATCGCCCAAAGTAATTATTATGTCTGGCAGGAAATGTAATGTGAAGGGCCATATCCCCCCTGTTAGCTTATCCCCCGTGGAAAATGAGCGGTGCGTTTTTTAACACACTATATTTCACGGCTTCACGTCACTAATAACATCCCCTCTAACTTGAGTTGACCCGGTACTTACCATACTCTTGCGTGGAGACAAGCAGTGGAAGAGTCGGCGCACCTTCGCCCCTCTTGCTTTTGGCTGAAATCCATATGTAGTACTCACTGCCTGGATATAGGCCATTCAAGACATACTCTTCCTTGCTTCCATGATGGACGAAAATGCTTCTATAGTTGATTTTCTACATTCAGGCAAAGGAAAGGAATTCACCTTGTATATCTGATATCTAATAAATATAGACGATCGTGACTGACTGACTGACGCTAATTCTAACCATGTTCTAGNTATAGTTGATTTTCTACATTCAGGCAAAGGAAAGGAATTCACCTTGTATATCTGATATCTAATAAATATAGACGATCGTGACTGACTGACTGACGCTAATTCTAACCATGTTCTAGAGAAGTTGGAATTCTAAAACTTGGTACACATGTACCTTTTGGGATGCAGAGTTCAGAAATAATCCGACTATGGAGGTACATGCCCTGGGGGGGCATGTACCTCCATAGTCGGATGGGGGGGCATGTACCTCCATAGTCCTCCCCCTTTGGGGGGAGAAGTTTTTAAAGATATGTACTGTGACGGATTAGGATGGCATCGAGACTTGATTGGATGTCCCGGGTTCGGTGGTGTAGTGGTAGGACACCGGACCGACAATCGGGAGGCTCTGGTTCAAATCCTGGAAGTTCCGTGGCTTTCTTTCTCCCTCTTATGCCTTCCAAGTCGCGTTACTTATTCCCCTTCCTAACAATATTTTTGCTTGAGTAAAACGGAGAGACATGGAAAGTTGAAACCTGGAATGGACGTGCCTAACGAGACGATGAGTTCAGGAAAAATGCAAGATTTTAGATCCATGCCCTGGCGGGATATTTTCTGGGGTCGACGTTTGCAAGCATTTTTTTTGTCCTGGCATATTGAGCTAGTGTGGAAAGATGAATCTTGGCACATAACTACCTATTAGGATGCTGCAGAAAAATTCAGACTTTTGGAAGTAAATGCCTTGTGGGCACAAATTTCAAAGGGAGTTGTTTTCAAATAATTTTTATTGTATCAGTTCAACTGATGAACATGGAAAGCTGAAACTTTGCATTAAAATGACAACGTAGAGAAGGAGTTAAATAAAAATGTTAAATCTTGATGAATCCCCTGCAGGAATTTTTTTCAAGTGGCGTTGCTTTGAAAAATAAAAATTGACGGCGAATTGGACAGAAATGGAAAGGTGAAACTTGGCACACTTATAAGTGACATGCAATTATTGAGTTGAGGGAGTATTCAGTTTTCATAGTGCATTCCCTTTGGGCATGGCTTTTGGGTGGGTCGGCTTTTCCAAACATGTTTTTTCACAATAGAAAAGGGGAAATGTATAAAGTTCAAACTTTGTGGGCATGTAGTTCTCTGAAAATTGATTTCGGTAAAAAAAAGATGTACTTTTCAGTTAAAACGCCTCTGGGCACATGTATTGCAAAAGGCGTATTTTCTCCAATTATCTGATCCAGCAAAACATATGGCGCTAGGTAGGTTAATCTTGGCAAAGAAGAACCTGATGGATAGCTGAGTGAATAAAAAATTATACATTGGTGATACATGCCATACACCTTTTCCGAGAACATATTTTCAAATAATTCTCTTTGCTTCAATTAAACGGAGACACATGAAAAGTTGAAACTTGGCAAAAACGTGACCGCTGACGCACTGAGCTCAAATGTCAAACCTCAAATTTTCAAAACATTTTTGGGGTTCATATTTATTGGGGACGTAACGTTTTTAAATAAGTTTTCATATCCTACAGAATCGGTCAGAAATAGAAAAGTAGCTGCCGCACGCATAATGGACGTGATGTTGATTTAAGGAAAAATTCAACTTAGTTGTGCGTTTCCCCATAGCACAGCTTTTGGGTGGGTCGCTTTTCCAAATATATTTTTCCGCCAGAAAAATGGAGAAACGTATAAGGCTGAAACTTGCTGGCATGGAGTTCCCTGAGTCTACATTTTAAAAGAAAAAAAAATCGTTAAAAACTCATCAGGGCACATTTTTCAGTCCTATTTTCCTGAATTTTTTGATCCAACGAAACAAAGACAGCAAATTTAAAATTCCCTTAGAAGTACCCGTTTGATGGCTGAGTACAAGAAAAAATCTACTTTTTAAAAATGTCGCCTTAGCGTAGATTATTGGAGGGAAGTATTTCAAAATGTATTCTCTACCCTAACTAAAACGGACACAAGAAAAGGTTTCAAGTTAGCCACACAGAATCATAGAATTAATGATTTTGATGAAAATCAAGACTTTCGTCCCTATATGTCACGCATTTCAATATCGACGTACTTTAAATACGTGTTTCCCATTTCGCAAAAAAAGATGAATTAATCACTATCCAAGGTAATGGGGCGCCGAAGGCGCGACCACTGGCTAGTACTGTATATAAACGATCGTCATTAGTGAGTTACTGACAGACGCGAATTCTAACCATGTCATAGATATGGTAGAAATATGAAACCTGCTACACAAGTACGTATTAGGATACTGAGTTCAGAAAACTTCCGACTTAGGAGGTATATGCTCTGGGGTCACATTTTTTTTTTTTGGGGGGGGGGGGTTAGGAAACCTGTTCCAAAACGTTATTTGTCCGAGCGAATCTATTATCTCGTTCAAAGAAAACCGAAAAGTTTGTGCCTGCTGGGTATGCAATCAGACAAATTCTCATAAATCCATCCGAATGGGACTCTCACTGTATCCTTTGACTCGTTACCAGATTGTACACGTAAATGTACGACTTCTCCAGCACATTGGGCCGGGAGAGGACACATGGGTGCACCGCTGCACCCAAGAAACCAAAGCTACATTCATGACATGGAGACAACCGTTATCTCCGACCTCTAAGAAGTTCAAAACGATGCCGTCAGTGAGAAAGGTGTTTGCAACTGTTCCCTGGGACTATTCCTCTGGACCCTCTGGTGGAGTTCCCAAGCCATGATCAAGTTTTGGATTGATAACTCAACTTTCCGACGCTGGACAAATTGCGGGATGCCATTCACCGCAAACGACCTGGCTTACTGCGTGAGGGAGTCATTTTGATCCACGGCAACGCCAGGCAACGCACCGCAAATCGTTCGCCTGGAGTGGCAACAGCATTACAAATGGGAGGTACTGAATCACCCACCCCACAGCCCTGATTTACCGCCCAGGGATTACCACTTGTTCGGGCCCCTGATGAAGAGTCTCTCTGGCAGCCGTTTTGCAACTGACGCTGAAGTGGAGCAGGCAGCGACAACGTGGCTCCGGACACGATGCGGATGTCTAGTAAGCAGGGATCGAGTCCTGGGGGTTTCGTAAGAATAAATGTATCAACAGATGTGGTGACTGCTGAAAAATAATTGTATATATGCATGGTTTTCAGGAACAAAAATTGTTTTTAAAAAGTCTCCTAGAAATGCGTTTTGCAAGGAATAAATCCAGTAAATTTTTCCTGTACTCAGAAACCCACAGCCAATAATTACTTGCGCACCAGGTTTAATGTATTTACACTATCTAGAACGTAGAATTATCGTCAGTTACTCAGTCACAATCATCAATCACTAATAGATACTTCCATGCATTTTAAGATATGACAATTTTGGGGTGAAAGACATATCTCACTTTCGAATGGGTGTCATTCCAATAAAATTCGTAGCTGATAAGGGGCTCTTGGTCATTGTCTAAAGCTCCCGGTGGGTTCCATTTCGCCTTGATAGTTGTTGCTGTTCGGTTCAGAATGCGGAGATCGTTCGGCTGCAAAGGGACTACAGCAACAAGTTCACGGGATCAAAAGCCATGATGTTATCTCTCATCTTTTCCGTATGAACCTGAAGGTTCAATAGGGAATTTGAACATTTTCAAATTGAGGCATAACAAAGACTTTGTGCGATGGAACGAGGAGGAAAGGCTTTGTAAAAGGTACAGATTAGAGAGGATTGAATATTGAAAACGCCAACCAGAGGTCGGCATTATTTAGCCTTCACGACCCATTGCTTTAAACCTGAACTACCTACAATAACAATTCCCCTTGTTCTGGCTCTTCCTCACAGTGATTGAAGTGACCATTTCTGTATCAGTGGAAGACATGGGAAAGACGTATGAAACATATAATTGAGGAGGAAATGAAAGCAAAAAGTAAAATTATTCATTGTTTTCTTAATGAAAAGTGAAAAGGGTGACCGTTTTTACTCCCCGGTGATGACTATCAACATTGAATCCTTCAGGAGAACTTCTTACTATGGGAAAATCGAAGTGACTCACGGGTGGTGGAGGTGGGAAAGGTGAAGAATCCACACACCAAATTAGCTATGTCTAAAAACTTGGTCATTGTTTCCTGAACACTTTTAGTCCCGGGAATTTGAGAATATGGTTCATACCGTCGTGACCGAATGAGATTGGAAGTGATAATATCTCCATCAAAAATCATGCAATCCTCAAGCGTTTTAGCACATATTGGGTTGGAAAGAAAGTCTTGCAACACTTTCTAAAACTATTTATAAAATTTTTCAAAGGAATGATGGGTGGGGCTTTCCATTTGTATATGCTGGAATGTTCTCGAAGCTTCTGCCCTCGGGGTATATATGGCGGCTTCTGCCATTAGTTGGTAGCCATGGCTCCGATCGAACAAGCAACTCTTCGCCCCATCATCTACTACGAGTTCCTCCAAGGACACTCTGCGAGAGCCGCCGCGGACAACATCTGCGCTGCATTCGAGGGCAACGTCGTCCACTATTCCACGGTGTCTCGATGGTTGAAACGTTTCGAATCTGGCGACACGACCTTCGGAGATCGACCACGCTCAGGACGTCCATCTACAGTCGATGACGAAGCCCTGCGGAACGCCCTCAACGCGAAAAGCCGAACGCCACCACTCGCGAATCGGCGACTACACTTGGAGTCACCCATCGGCAACCATCTGAACAACCTCGGCTATCGGAAGGTTTACTCGACATCGGCTCGGCGACTCTGACAAAGCAAGCCGTGTCAGTGTCTGCGAATCACTGCTCCTTCGTCCGCACAGAAAGGACTTTCTGAAGGAAATCATTACTGGAGATAAGAGCTGGGTCCTCTACGTGGACCATACTCGCAAGAGTCAGTGGCTTCCACGAGGAGAATTGCCGCCACACAAACCGAAACCAGGGTTCCAGGAGAAGAAGGTTCTTCTCTGCAGTTGGTAGGATTCAGAAGAAATGTTGTACTATGAGCTCCTGCCAACCGGTACCACCGTGACTGCTGACGTCTACGGCTGCTCAACTTCAGAAGTTGGCTGGCGTCATTCAAAAAGAGCGTCCTAAACGCGACAAAGTTCTCCTTCTGCATGACAACGCTCGTCCACATGTTGAGAAGATGACTCGCCAGACGATTTCGAACTGGGCTGGGAAGTTTTACCCCATCTAGCGTACTCTCCGGACTTGGCCCCTTCCGACTATCACTTTTTCCGGGCCCTCAAGAATCACCTGCGGGACAAGGCCTTCGACGATCGAGCACAGCTCGAAAATGATGTCGGCCGTTTCTTCGCTTCGCAATCGCCAGAGTTCTGGGCAAAGGGCATCGAGCAGTTACCCGTGCGTTGGGAACATGTCATAGACAACAATGGTCATTACATTGTAGACTGAAATTGCATTTCAATAAAGTTATAATATTTTGAAAAATTTGCGCAGACTTTTGGAATACTTTCTTTCCAACTCAATACAATTTCGGGTTAATAAGTATTCCTGCCAAGCGTAAAATGAATTTACGCAGTATTTTGAACGCAACGACTTTCGAAACATGACATGTGGAGAATCACAGTGAACTAGCAGTCTTCGCGCTGTTTCTCGCGAGGCGAATTATGTCGTTACTCTTCAAAATGACACCGTAGGTAACAACCAATTTCAGCGAAGATGAAAACCATGAAACGCTGTTTGGGTTTCATGGTTTTCCTGAAACTATGTTATGATGTCTTTCTTTGAAAGGCCCCGAGGTCCTTGATTGATGAGCAATTCTTCCATAACCTCGATTTTTTCGTAGTTCGGGTAGGACATGGCTTACCAGTTTTTCGTTTCATGTAGGTCGATCTCGTTTCAGCAATTTCTTAAAGTAACTATAGAAGAAAATGACTTGCCCGTTTCTTTTTAGGGGACTCCCTCATGATCCAAGACTATACTCGTCAAAAAATCTCTCGTAAGCTATCGATCAGATGTTTCTCTTATCTACTGCATCCCATGTTCTTCGTATTGTTAATTCTGTGATTTATGATGATGAGAAACGTTGTATGAATGGAGAGATTGGTCGTTCGCCCACAGATGATGATAATGAAATATCAGAAATGCAACCTGAACACAAGAAATAGTGAAAAACAAGGGAATAAATATATGGAAAATATATCCTCATAAAGAACGCTTCCTGCCAAATCGCAATGATGTCGGAAGACGCCAATATAATTCACCTAGCGAAGAGCAGTTCGCATCTTTGTCTTTAATATAAAATTCCCACGATTCAGCTTTGAATAGCAATTGCATCTGAAGTACTAGGTGAGTTTTGCTAAAACTTGGCAGATATCTTTCCCAGCCATTTTAGATTTTATCTGCAGGAAAACGGGAGGCTCGCATAAAACTGGATTGATATACTTCAACAAATAAATTGGTCTCTTTTGGTAATTAATATATTGTACTTCTGAGGTAGCCAATGAAGAACTGACATAAGTATGTGATACCCGCTGCCATTTGAATGACTATGATGAGTTCCTATTATCTGCAATTTTCAATCGTTGAGATGTCAACGTGTATAGACAGTATTTGCAGCTAATACATATATCCTAACAAAGAGAGTCGCGTACCTGCACGATCCTTCCTATTTAGGGAATCCCATTCAGTCTCTGGATAACGTGTAGAAAATTAAGCAGTGATAAATGTTTCATCCAGTACATGAAAAGCGGTATCTACGAGGTGCGTTCAAGTTCTAAGGTCTCCTAATTTTTTTCTGGGGACCGGGTGCAGAAAGAAACATGCGTTTGAGCTTAAAATACGCGGGTACTCTTTGTTTATGCATGAACGAGATGGCAGCACCGTACAGCGCACAGGGTTCTTGTAGCTGCCGCACGAGTGAGAAGCGTTTTCAATACTTAAAATGGCGACGTTCAGTGTACAAGAACAGCGTGTAATCATCCGTTTTCTCCACTTGCCACTCCACTTTTCTAACACCCATTGAAATTCATCGTCAATTGAGTGAGACATGCTGTGATGGTGTTATGGATGTGAAAAATGTGCGTTCGTGGGTGCGACAGTTCAAAGAAGGCCGAACGTCGTGTGACAACGAACCGAAGCAGCCGCGGCCACGAACCAGCCGGACCGACAAC